CTTATCTGCTTTTGCACCATGAGTCGTTCCATGCACATCATACCAGATTTAATCATGACACTCCGTTTACAACACTAATTTACCTCATTATAATGTAAATGTGCATAATCCTGTGTTTTCATTGAGAGGATGCTTGAATGCACGGTAGTGCTTTCAGCATCCTCTCACTAGTTATTTACAATGTGCCTCAAGATTTCATTTATGGAAAGTCCAATCATTTCAACAATGTTCTTCCTATTGAACATTCCTCTACTCAACACCTTACTCAAATCATTCATTACAATATATAATCCTTACCACTTGTTTTTTTATTTTCTTTTAGGCGAGATAATTCAACCATCCTATCTCCTATTGGTTCAACTTTTTACTTTATTCTTACTCGAATTGTAAACTTGTTGTATATTGATGGTTAAAATAAAAAATAAAAACTTTATTTTTTCTATTCACACCATTTTTACATGGTTGTCTTCCAACTAGTCATGCTGAGTGATGTCTAATAGCAGCTGGCCAAATTACAATCGAGTGGTGGGTGGGTCACAGTCAAGTACAAATAAGCCATTCACTGCCAAAGAACAAATATAATCATTCTTTCCGATCAAGTACTTTAACCTCCCCCTCTTGATTCAAATGACATAACCAAAAGACTTAAGACATCACCTACTTCCTATAACACACAACACCATATTCACATAATTGTTCATACATATATACATTGTCACAGCAAAATCAATTCCATAAATTTACCAATGACTCAAGCAAATTTGCCCATATTAACTATAGCCTCTTTTGTAAGCCATCTGATACTTGTGGCTTGTGTTTCAATTACATAACGTTAGTCCCAAAATATCAGCTTCAATTATTTGAGCACTCAGGAAAAACAGAATCCCATTATCAAGGTCAAGTTTATATTGCGCTGGTCCCGCTAACTCTGGATGCCATTTGAAACAACGTTCATTGTCGCTATGTACTTGCACAACATCACCGACTTTAATAGCGTTGTCTGTTGAGCCATCAAGGTTGTGTCTTTTGCGCAGTGAGGGTAAATATTCAGTTACCCAGCGACGCCAAAAATGTTCTATTAATTTGGAGAGATGGGCATGGCGTTTCTCAATGTCTATTTGGTTTCCGAAGGTCGGGTCTCCAAATTCATCGGCGTCAATAATCCGATAGGGTACACGCGTCAGCGAGCGGCCGTGTAGTAGGTGTAAGTGGGGTAGGGTCTTCTTTATCAGAAGATACGTATGTTAATGGTCGCTCGTTGAGGACGGACTCGATTTCGACGAGGATGGTGTTGAGTTCGTCGTAGGTCACGAATGATCGACCTAGTACTTTCTTAATCGCTGTTTTCGTTAGTCCAATTAAACGTTCCCAGAAGCCCCCGAACCACCATGCACGTTTTGGGATGAAGCGCCATTGTATTCGCTTATTGGCTAGATAAGTTTTCACTTCCGGTGAATAAAATAATTTCCTGATTTCATTCGAGGCGGAGAGGTAGGTAGATGCATTGTCGGATATTATGGTAGAAGGAATCGATCTCCGTGCAGCAAATCTGCGAAAGACATACAGAAAGGATGTTGTTGATAAGATGGGAAAAAGTTCGAGGTGAATAGCTCGAGTGACTGCGCACGTGAATAAACATAAGCTTTAGTTTCTTTAGTGTTCTGTGATGATCTCACGTAAAGGGCGCCAGTAAAATCCACCCCGGTTACTGTGAATGGTGGCGTAATGTTCACTCTGCAAGATTGCAGTGGCGCGGAAACAGGAGGCCAATAATGAGAACCAGATACCTTGATACAAGTAACACATTTGCAAAGTAATGCTTTCACCACTTGTCGAATTCTAGCAATCCAGAATCTTTGTCGAATGTGGGTGATGGTTGTTTGGAGACCGGAATGCAGCACCTGCGCGTGTGTGTTAGTGATCACGAGTTCGGTGAATCGATGGCCAGTTGGTAACAGAACTGGGAAGTTCGTGATAAAATCTAGTGGGCCGTTGTATAACCTCCCACAATATACCGTCGTCATCAACAAACAGTTTGAATTGTTTTGTTAAGTGTCCGAGTTTTCCATGTTTTCTTTGTATTGAACGTATTTCGGCCTGAAATTGTTCGCGTTGAATATCTCGAACCCACATGCGTTCTGCTTGCTGAATTTCGCGTGCGGTGAGGGGGTCGATATTTCGCTCTTTGTCTCTTTTTATATTGGAGATGAACCGAAGTACATACGCAGAAATGACAGTGGGAGTTTTAGCATTGGAGAATTGTTCAGACTCACCGTGAACTTGTGTAATGTCCGTTATTGGCGCAATAGGTTCAATGTCAGTGATTGGAACGTGGTTTACGGCGCTGTCAAACAGCTCACAGACAGGCCAGTCGCCTTTCTTCAGCCATGGTGGTCCCGACCACCACAACTTCGAATGTTCCGTTAAGTGGCGAGCCGTAACCCCTCTTGTCATCAAATCTGCGGGATTATCGCGTGTAGGACAGTACTTGACAGTACACGGAACGGAATTAATTTCTCCGACGCGATTTGTGACGAAGACAGGAAGTTTCTTGTTGCTTTGTAGCCAATGTATGACAATTTGGCTGTCTGACCATAACACTGAATTTGTGATATCTACCGTGTCCTTCAATGCATCCGATACGAATCAAAGTAGTCTGATACCGATTAACGATGCCATTAACTCCAGCCGGGGCAGGGTGATTTCCGGTTTCAGAGGCGCGACTCTGCTTTTCACCATGACTAAAGACGTTTCGTTATTGTGTCGCAGATAAACGGCGGCTCCGTAAGCTTTGTTGCTAGCATCCCCGAAAACGTGTAACTCACACTCTTTAATTTTAGAGTCCGAATTAAAGTACCGGCGTTTGAATTTAGTGTTGGCGGCTTCCATTATGTCATTTGATATCTCCTCCCACTTCTGTGTCATGTCATCACTAAGTTTATCATCTCAGTCGAGTTTCTGTTTCCATAGTAGCTGAATGAGTAACTTAGCCTTGATGTGTATGGGAGACAAATATCCAAGAGGGTCGTACAAACTTGCAGTATCTTGTACGATTGTCCGTTTAGTTACTGGGTTGTCATAGAGACGGTCGTTGACCTTTGTAGGGTAGCACAGTTCATCAGAATCAACTTTCCAGCGAATGCCCAACACATTGACATTCATGTCGCGATTTCAAGGGTGCAGACTTCATCGGAATTTGAGGACCATGCGTGTAAATTAAAACCGCACGATTTCATCAAAGTATTAGCTTCGTTATAGTAATTGACGGCTTCGGCATTGTTATCAACATCACTTACAACATTGTCCACGTATATATTTTGTTGGAGATCGGAGGATGTCGAAATCGACGCATTAGACTCTAGATGCGTTTTAACGAAGGCGTTGAGTATGAAGTGTGAGGAAACAGCTCCGAAAAGTACCGATGTGAAGCGATACACATTGAATTGGCTTTCTGGGTCGGACGGGTCAGACAACCACAGAAATTTGGTGAAGTCGCGGTCTTTTTCGTTGAGTCGCACGTTGAGGAAAGCCTTTTCTATATCGCCTGTTAAGGCAACGCGGTGGAGGCAGAATCTAAGCAATATGGCAGTAAGATCATTCAATAAAGACGGACCAGTTTGTAAGCTGGGGGATTTCGGGCGATTGACGGCAGCTACAGTCATACACAATTTTTATCGGCGTGGTTTTCGAGTCTTTTTTAACCGATTGATGAGGTAGATAGTGTCCGCAATGGTTATCGTCGTCAGTAACTTCTTCAATGAAATTCCGCGCTTTCTGGTCCTTAATAATTCCATCATATGTTTTTACCAAATGCAGTGGAAGTTTACGAGTCATAGCGCGAGTGCGTTTCTCTGCAATACGAAAGTTAGTAGGCAGAGGAGGGTGGTCTTGTCTCCACGGTAACCCCGCAGTGTACCATCCGTTTTCGATTTTGAAATGATTATCTCTGTAATGTTCGAAGTCTGTGTTCTATCAAGGGGAAAATCTTCTCTCTGGGTTCTCCACACTTGCCAGGGGGGAATCTCGTCTCGTCTCTATATCGCGTCTCCTTGAGGTATGGGATCGAGAAAGTCACTTAAGTCTTGCAGTCAAATAAGACACACTGTCGCATATGACTTGTTTACCACTTCCGTGTGACTGAGAATGTTCTAGAACCTACTGTGTCTGGGTGGAATTTTTAGAAACTGGTTGAATAGGTAATAGAACACTGTAGGAGGCAACAGAAGGTAATGGAACATTCTAGAAATTTGTAGTAAGTTCTAGACTCATTATGTATGCTGATGTAATGGTCTATTTATAGACAGTGTGGGTATATATAGTGGAGTTGTTCAGCACTGAGATCAGATCGGAGATCTCGTTGAATTGTATTGGAGTTTAAGTATCTAGTTATTAGAGTAGTGGAGTTTTACCGCGTTATTGTACTTGATGTTTGCAGAGTATAATAATACCAGTACCAGTTGAAACCTCATCTGTTGGCTTCGTGTTCATATTTTATCATCGCCGCCAGGGAAGTCTTTCTGTTACTGTCGCCATTTTGGTATTTGAACCATCACATCTGTACTATACCAATTACGGTAATATTACGTTGCGTGTGACACACACACAACAGAAATATGTTTCAACTCTCGTCTTAGTCGGTCTTTTGAGCACTTTATAAGACACAGCGCCCTGGGGAAAGGTCCCCAAGACTATCGCAAGGCTGACCCAAGACTAGCCCAAGACTGGACTGCCTCAAGGCTTGCCCCAGGACTGGACTCTTAGACTGCCTCTGTCGTGGAGTACTCGCCAAGACCAACTCAAAACTCTCTTTATTCATTTTCAAAACCTTAACCAATTACAATGCAGTAAAAAGACTCTAAGGCGTAACTTTCAATCATAAAGCCAATCACACTAAGCACTGAATACATTTGTACGTCATATCTTTTGATTAATCGTTCACTACATTAATAACTACGAATACCAACTGTCAGAAATAATAGTCGGAAATAGCTACGGTTATCTCGTAATTAGTTCCAAATCACTGAGCCAAGTTCCGTCCAAAACTTCAAATAGGCCTAAACGATGACAGACATAACACAGCAATTGAGCTAATAATCTACTAATTAAGTCGGTCAACAGATACGCGAAAACTAATTCATGACACATCCCTTCACCCAAACTGAGATTATGTCTCCTGGCATTGCACGTTCACAAATCAAAGATACCGTCCTCTACTCATCGTCATACGGGTTAAATACAATACTAATAAAAGATATAAATCAAAAGAGTAAACACACTAATTAAGTACAATTATTATAAAGTCTAAATACAATGGTTATAAAGTCATAAATATCAACGGTTATAAATCAAAAACAAGGGAAAGGCTACCAATCGACTCGCTTTTCTCAAACAGGTCCGCTGAGGTAACCCTTCGCTGCACTGTCTCTGTTACTAAGGTTACAAACTCTATATCAAAAGGTCAACAACAAAAAACTAAGTCGTGGCGGTGTAACCAAGCGACCAGCCAATTGCTGCAGTCGACAGCGTGATCACGTGATTACCAGGGTTGCGTCTCTCGGTTAAAGCATTGCAAAGCGGTAACTAATAAACAATGAATAAAAAGCTATTAATCAAACTCCTGTCATATACGCTTATAAACTTCAACTGAACTCAAAAGTCGTTAATCTAAACACAAGTCATACAGCGTGGAAACGGAATGCAAAGACAATGTCGCTTTCATAACACATTACTCCTCTGGCAAAAAGACGGAAAAAGGCTAAAACGATATACACTACTGAGTTACATATAATCCTGTCAATAATTAAGTAGGTCAACAGATACGCGAAAACTAATTCATGACATTTCATTACTGGAGGGTTGGCATTATCAGTGATGCCGATTGTCTCGAGCTTCCAGTAATCCTGGAGTTGATCGTTTACAACAGACAGATTAGTAGCAATGTGTAGAATAGTTGCGTCATTGGCAAATGTACTC